TTTTGGTTTTGTACCTTGTTTGTCGATTGGATTTTCCTTTGCATCAGGCTCTTTTTTGCTGGTAGCGTTGTTTCTCTTCTTTTTCCTTTTACTTACCACCACCGTGAAGGATTCAGAGGCAGCTGAGGGTCCAGCCTGATTAATGTTTTTTTCGGCTTGCGTCTGAGGTTCCTTCGAACGTTTAGGTTCTTGGTGAGGTGCTCCAATTGACGTGGTGAGTGTATCGGTATATTTTTGCGGAGATTTATCTACTAAAATTTGTTTCAATACATCATGCACCTTCTGTGACGAAAGCGTGTCCAAAATAGCCTTTTGAACTATGGCCGAGACTCCAACTTGTTCTTTTTCCTTTTCCTGATTTTCAATAATATCAACAAGGCATTGTACCTTGATATTAATCTGGTCTCGGACACTAGAGCTTAATTTTTTTCCATTATTTTCAATGGCCATTGAGATGCTTTCCTGTATATCTTTAGCCTGGCAAAGTTTGCTTTTAGTACTAGTCTCTTCCAAATCCTCTGGTAAATGAGAAGAGCCCCTCCTTGGTCGTTTTGCCACTGCTCTTGAGAGATTTCCTTCCTTTTGTACCCCCTCCATCTCGATATTGACCATAGTGTTTATTATAACTGAGATAACGTTATCTGCAATTTATAACCTTCCACTTTTAAACTATAACTAATAAAGAACTAAATGAAGTACTATATTCACCTGAAATTGTTTTCATTTACCTTAAGGGGTCTCTTAATACACTTTTAAATGTCTTATTAGAATGGGCTTGCCCGAACAGCAGGAATCACTAGTGGTAAAAGTAAAAGTCTAGTACTCTATATACTTACTAAATTTGTTCCTACACAAGCAAGTAAATAAACTATCTTCACTAGGGCTTCCTATGGTGCTTTCCACCCACTGTAGAATAGTTCACAAGAATCTACTCTGTATGAAAGTTAATGAAATGTCCCACTCCTAACCTCGCTATTTATAATATTTACAATAAACTAAGCCATAACAACAAAACACATACAAAAAATAACACAAACTAACTAGAAAATTAATGAACGATAATAAACACGAAATAAACAAGAAAATAAGCACAGAAAACTAGATATTAGATAATCAGATTAGTACAAATGTGATATCACTATTTGACCTCGCATAACCTCCCTATCGCAAGACAGAGGAGTATACGCTTACGCTGTAGGCCGAGGAGCATCAGCTGGAAGCCATACCTGATACACGGTGGGCCAGACCCCCTTACCGTGCACCCCCCCCTCCCCCCACATCCCTATAAATTGCATATCGTTGTGTTCCTTGTAACTATTTATTAAAAAAAAAGCCAATGTTCCCACAAAAAAAGTGAACGCACTGCCCCAAAATGGCGTCCAAAGATGGCGGATTGACGACTTTGACTTTAGTTAGTTTTTTGGTCACTGCGAATCAGCATTTGGCTTAATTTCCTCATAGTTGGTCTTTTATTAAAGCTGAATAGTCATAGAATAATAAACCATGAAGAAATATTAAAAAATAATTGGCTTAGACTATGAAAAACACTACTAAAGTCAATTTTTTTAACAAATTGACTCAGTTGAAAATTGAGACTGGCTTCACTTTAAGGCAGGTTATAGAGAAATCTATATACAACGAAAAATATCTCTCTATCTCCTTAGTGCCTTACTCTTAGGATTGTGCTAATATCTAATTGTCTTTCAGAAAAGCAGGTTTTCATTTTAGATTCCTTAAAAAATCGTTTGCAAATGCACTAAGCAGAAGGAGAGCTATGAGCTATAATTTTCTCGATATACCTCTCTATATCCTGCTTCAAAGTGAAGATAGTCCCGATGTGCACCTTCAGCAATCGAAAATAAAGTGATTTTTACCATAATAAACCTACATCTTAACTTAATATCATCCAAACTGCAATTGACCCCCTTTTAGCAGCATGTTGAAGTATTCTCTTCATCTGTCTACTATACATTCGTTTAGCCATATAATGGATACTGGTACTTTTTATCTTTTCCGAGGTTTTGGCACTTTCTTTCTCGTTCGCTTAATATATTTTTCCAGTTTTCGGGTTCAATTTCACCTTTTTCCTCATTTCAAGACCAAATCCAAACAATCAGTTCTGGCTTATAGAAGAACTTATAGCGTCACCGTTTCTATCTTTCTTTGTGCAGAGAGAATAATTCATTCAATAATAAAATTTCCTATTTATTTATGATATAGTCCAACTTCCGCACAAAATAAAGGAAATAAAAATTATTTTTTTAATTAGTGATATATTTTACTATACAACCCAGCAGCTATTCATTATGTATAGTTCAGATTAGGTATATATTATTTTAGTTTATAAAACAGGTACGACTCATTTCCTGGGAAGTATATATAAATTTTAATTACCTTTAAGAATCAGTAAATATACAAAACACAATGTTAAATTGCAAACGTTAAATAAAAAAAAAATCAAGATATTTAGCAAAGTTTTTAATTAAGTTTTATTATTATAATTGTATCATTTTTACAATCAAGGTCTTCTTAAACGACCTACGTGTAGAAATAAAGAAGGTTAAATAAAAAAAAAATAATAAATTTTTTTCAAAAAAATTTTAATTTTTTTTTTTACAATTAAATTATTGCATTAATATTTGTTCGTTAATAAAACCAAAATAATTTACCAAAAATGTTATTATATCACTTTAACTAAGCCATTTATGTGTACTGAATGGTGTGGTAGAGGCCTGTAGGCACCCACGCCAGTACCGCTTTCTGCCGCACAAGTGCATTTTCTACGGAACTGTTCAAAAGTTTTTAAAAAATAATCAGCGTTTTGGAAAGAAAAATATATTCTCCAGATGGTTTATATCAGCACATTTTGCGTTATTGTAGGCCGTTTAATTACAAATGACGCTTGATTTTTAACTTGAAAATTTTTTTGTTAAAAAAATTGACTTTAGTAGTGTTTTTCATAGTCTAAGCCAATTATTTTTTAATATTTCTTCATGGTTTATTATTTTATGACTATTCAGCTTTAATAAAAGACCAACTATGAGGAAATTAAGCCAAATGCTGATTCGCAGTGACCAAAAAACTAACTAAAGTCAAAGTCGTCAATCCGCCATCTTTGGACGCCATTTTGGGGCAGTGCGTTCACTTTTTTTTGTGGGAACATTGGCTTTTTTTTAATCAATAGTTACAAGGAACACAACGATATGCAATTTATAGGGATGTGGGGGGGGGGGGTGCACGGTAAGGGGGTCTGGCCCACAGACTATGACCTTAGCCTTAACTAGCCTCCAACCTAGCTCCCCAACCTGGGTAAGACCAAGAGATGCAGGCGCTCAATCGGTGCCCACAGAACGGACAGTATCCTACACTCAAGCTTCCGACCACTCGTCTGCACACTATACCAGATGACTAGCCTGAACGACGTCAAGTCTAGCTGAACACAGGTGTCGTGCAGCGAGTAGTCGTAAACACAACGACCGCTACGACCGCCACGGCCGAGCAGTGCAAGCACTCTCGCCGTCCACCCAAAGCGCCGCCAGGGCTCCAGCGACGCCCCGTAGTACCAATTTGATCGGGAAGCACTTCTTCCCTGACCTCAGAGCACGATTGGTCTCAGGCTCCGCAATCTTACGATCACTACGGCTTTACATCGACTGCCGATGTACAGGAGGATGCCTGAACCTCCGCAGTCAATGAGGGACGATTCGAACCAGAGGCTCAAGCCGATAGCCGTACTCCATAACAGTGAAGAAAGAAACTAGAGGAAAATTTCTTGGTTTACAATAAAGAAAGAGAGAAATTATTCAAAATAGATTTTTGGAAAATTAGAAATAAAGTGAGCCAGATCAAAGACAGGCTAATAAGTTACAATTCGTATAAAACAAAATGACTCCTCATTAAATAAAAAAAAAAAAAGTACATATCAATAAAAGGTTTCTCCAGAAGGGAGAGGCACTAACTTGTGCATCGGTCTCACCAAAGTGGCTGTATCAGTCCTCAATTTTACCACCCTAACTACACCGTCAGGCCTTGGAAGTATCTCTATTATCGCTATCGACACAAAAGTCGATCAAACGTTGACCGTTTTCATTATTCATTCTTCCGCCTCAATGGATTCCTATAATCCCAATAGCCCCATGACCACACCTTGCATTAAAATCACCACTCATGATTCCATACTTTCCCTCATCTCCTGCACTCATCCAGAGTTCTATGCATATCAGCAAAGAACATTTCTTTCTTCAAGATTCCGGTATCTTCATTTGTTACCCACACTTATTTGGAGATTAGGAAATATTCCAGTTTCCTAAAAACTGCACCTGTCATGACAATAAAATTCCTTACTCGGCAAAAATTTGGGAATCCAGAGTAAATTAAAACATCGTCATCTTCAAGCCTATGTTCCCTGGTTCCTTTCTTTTTTACTTCACTGATACCCAGAATATTATATTATTAAATTATATTATATTTTTTCATTTACTTAGTTCGGCCTCTTTTCCCATCAGTGTCTTAATATCCCAATTTCCTGTTCTAAACTCCATTTCCATTCTAGGTCGTTTCCTTAAGACGTTTCATTCCCGAGACTCTAAAAGAAGCTCTGTTACCTCATTGTAACTGGCCTCCAGAAGTCCTACGGAGGAAAAGGTGTAGGAAGAGATTAAGGTGACTTGAATTAGGCAAGGGGACTTGATGCTCTTTAAACTAAAGGAAGTGGGAGAAATCAAGAGCTTACATGGGCAGGGTAGCTAGTTCCTTGAAGTTAATCTGTTCTTCGCTGTGATTGTGAAAAGGTATCTACTCCCTACTCGAAAAAATTTAAATTATCGATCAGTATAGGCTCAACTATTCATGTTAGTCTACGAGGCATAGGCTATATAAAACTATGTAAAGGCTATAATAGGTTCATTCACTTTTATCTGCTTCACGATATTTTATTCAAATATTTTATTTATATTTACAAAAGTCCCATTCATTGATACTTTCTTCTTATGTATTTGAAGAACACGGATGACGGACGTGGAGGAAGCATTGATGGACGAGTCGCTGACCCTGATGTGCGGTACCTTCGTTGCCTTGCGGACAAGCAGACCGCCCCCAATACCCCTCAGGCACATCTCCAGCTACATGACCATGTCCTACAATTTCAGCCAGGAACTGCTCAGGACTGCCGAGGCAATGCAAGAATTTACTAAATCTTCGGGTTTGTAGGGTTCTTCATAGTTAGTATGAAAGATATTTGTAGTTAAAATATAAAGGATATTTCTTAAAAAAATCTTTAAAATGTCAATCAGCATGTATATTTCTCACTGAAAACGGCCTTTATTGGTCTATATCTTAAATTAAGAAGGACGAATCTAATACTAAAATTTGTTATTACTTATATATTTTGTTCTATTGGGTTGTTCGGAAATTAATTTTATGCTATCAAAATAAAGCTAATAAAATAAATGATATGTAACTACTTATATTTATCAAATATAAATAGCATGATAAATCCAGTGGGGGGCAATCGCGACGAGGCTCCGACCTAGAGGGGCGTCCGTTGGGGCGCTAGCCACTTTTTAGAAATTAAACAAATTAAATCAATTATTTTTAGCCTATCAATAAATCATCTGCATTAGGGAAATGTTGAATGAAATAGAATTCAAATACTACATAGTATGAAACAGCTTAAGAAATAAATTTAATTTTTTTAAGGGGAGAGAGATGACGTCATAAACCAGGGGCGCCGAATGTCTAAGCCCGGCACTAGTTAAATCGATATTATATAAAATATCCTGAAACGAGAAACCTAAAATTTTTAGAGGAGGTGAAGTTATGAATTTTTTGTTCGATTACAATGGTTCATTAATGAAAATAATAAACTAAAAATTCTGATAATGCATTTTCTAAAGAATTTTGATCAGTAAAACCTTTTAAAAAGTGGCCCAGATGTTTAAAAAAAGCGATAGTCGTTAGGCTAGAAGTCTGGAGAGTAAAGTAGGACGGGTGAGGTTTGATTTTGTTGCGGCAAAACTGTACTTGTTTTGCCGCAACAAAATCAAAAACAAGTAAAGCTCAAACTTCTTAACGAAAGCAGCCGTTGAATGCATAAGAAGACCAAGTTACAAGCTTTTTTAGCTTTCTAATTGCATTGAGGTGGTCAGCGATGGTCGATTTGCTGAAGTTCTCGAACAAGTCTGGGATTTTCTTTGATCAATGGTCGCAGAACATTGTTATTAAGGAAAGAAGTCCTTTCACGATCATCTTTGTCTTCAAGGCTGAAGTGAAGTGTGAAATTTTTAAACCATCGTTGAACAGTGCACTTAAATATGCTGCAATCACCCCATACTTTATTAATAATAAAATGTAATCTGGCCGGCTCTTTTTCGAGTTTGAAGTTGTATGAAAATCAGGATTTTATATCTTAGTGAAGATTTAATTATTGCCTACTTCTGAAACGCTATACAATATAAAATCATTCGTGTTTGAAAGAATATTAGTAAGCCTTCACACCGTTATAAAAGAACAATCACTCATAAGTAAATAGTTTCGTTACATCGAAGGTTGATATATAAATATATATGAAATCTTGCTTTATTTTCCAAATAACCCAATGTAACTGCTCACTTTTCCAATTTACAAGGTAAATCTAATTGAATTCATTGATTTAAATTATAAGAACTTAAAAAAGAATAGATAAAAAAATATTAAAAAATAATTATCTGAAGATAAATTTAAAAAAATTACACTCATCAAAAAATTAATGAATCAAGTTTATTTGCATTTTACGTAAAATAATTATTGATTTCCGACTGTCAGTTTAAAATAAACTATGATCAATGCATTAAAATTTAATAATTACAGATTTATATTATTATTATTTAAAAAATGTTACAAACAATAACAATGTATCGTAAGTTAAATTTATCATAAAAATGTTGCAATCTAGCATAGAATGGACTCCTTCACAAAGGAATTGTTAAAAAAAAAACTGTACAAATCGATGCTTATATAAAAAAACATATATTCCACAGAAATGGAGCTATACTTTATAGATGCTTTGAAAAATGAAATTTATAGATGCCCTCGGTCACCTAGAGAAAATAGGCAGTTAGTTCGTCATAAAATAGGTAAGTGATAGTTTTATTACATTAATGATTTCTCACACTAGCTATAAAAAAAATCCACACAGCACTAAAAATATTAAATGGTTTTAACATCATAAATTCAGTAACAATTCAATACAACTTCCCTGTTTAATCCACTACTGCTGGTCAAACAGAGATTTAATGGGAGTTATAATCGGGAAAATGGTTTCAATTAATAAACCAGTATATCGCATAAATTAAAAAATGTATAACTGACCAATGAGGTTTTTTTTTTTTCGTTTCTAACATTTTTGGGCAAGTTTTTAAATTTTTAGGTTTGAAAAGTGTACTTAAAAATATAAATTTATGTACGATCGAATTTATAAAGTATCGATATCTCCAGCATAAGGCTTTTTAAAATTATTTTTATCATAATTGTTATTATAGTTTTTTTTTTTTCATAAAGCTCTGAATTAATTGTATAAGTTAAACTCTCATTTATACAACTTCTTAAAGAAGTAAATATATAGTCGAAGACTACATATATCGAAACTGATTAAGAATTAAAGCTAACTTCTCATTTCTAGCAGGGTACCACAACTATAGAAATTAATAATAATTAATCTAAACTTAAATATAAAGAAACGTGACTGTCCTAAATATTATAAAAAATCAGCTTATTGCATTTTTTTTTTTTATTGAAACTTATAAAAATTTAAAATTGTGGGTTGATAGTTGACTATATTGAATAATTGAAGAGAAGGATGGTTGGGGTGATCATTCAAAATAAGATAGTAAAAATAAATAATTGTATTTAGTTTCACATTCGCCGACGTTTCGGCCCGAGTTCAGGCCTTCATCAGGGCTAATAAAAGAACCAGATAACAATAGGTATAAGATATTATAAACATTGAAAAATAAAGAATTGAAATTAAAAAAGGTGAAAGATATCGACTGAAAAATGTAAATAGAAAAACCGTTACTGTTATTATAATACCTACTTTATTTTACTGTAATGTTCACTCTATCTACTTCATTTTACTTTAAATTTTTCTACCTACATTTTTTAGTCGATATCTTTCACCTTTTTAAATTTTAATTCTTTATTATTTAATGTTTATAGTTTCTTATACCTATTGTTATCAAGTTCTTTTCATAGCTCCGATGAAGGCCTGAACTTCGAGCCGAAACGTCGGCGAATTTGAAAATGAATACAATTATTTGTTTTTACTGTCTTATTTTGACTGATCACCTCAACCATCTTTCTCTTCAACTATAAATAATTACCAGTGCGCCCTTTAATGATAAACTGAAAATAATTTAGAAATAATTATTTTAAATTATAACGTATTTATATAACATTGGACCCCTGACCTGAAGAGGAGAATCAATTGCTTTTAAAATATTTTTGAATAAATGTGCGCGAGCAACTGCCGGATTTGATATGTAAATTCATGATAGCGGCAAGTTATTAAATTAATTGAGTCTGTGATAAGGATGAACATACTAATTAATTGTGATATAAATAAAATAGGTGATATGGCCTCATAATTTGTATTGTCTGCAAATCGATCTTTAAAACATTTATCATAATTGGTTAGTGATTAATTATCTATCACTATTTGTCCCATTTTAATATAAAATAAAATATAGCAATATTTCCAGTCCACTCACGTCAAGTTTGTACCCAGGTCCTGGAACAACATTGGCTGCCTACGTTGCTTACACTAAGAGATATATATTTGTTAACGATTTAATTAATGATGGAGACTATCCCATGGGCCTCAATAGGAAAGGTAATTTATAGGTTTACTATCATAAAAATATTTTAAATGTATTATAAAAATAATGTAAATATATGCAGAACATATAGTAAAGTAAAATCGCATGGCTAAACGAAAGGTGGTGAAGGGATTCGACGAAATCTATATTGGGCCATCTAAGTTTGAATCATCACAATAACTGGAAATTACATGATTTTTTTTTTGTAACATTTGCATGTGCGTAAGCTAAAGTGTTAGATGGAATTGATATTGGACAATCTACACACTAATCCGCACATTCTCTGAAAATTTCATGAAAATCGGATAAACGGTAGTAGATGATTAGTCCGTTGCATCGATTTGACTACAGACAAACGGCGAACCAAATTTGATGCTTGATGCCTGAAACGTAAAGCTTGAGTGGAATTTTTCGATTTTGAGCACATGATTCTTTTTTAACCTCCCTCACGAATACAAATCTTCCCTACCTTCGGTAGTGAGGAAGCAAAAAGGAAAAAAAAAATGGAACGAACTATGTTAAAAATGTTGTACGTAATATTCTACTTAGAAATAATTACTAACAATTTTTCAATTCTTGAAATTGATATTTGAAGCGAAGGAGAATATTAAAATACTTGGTGATTATTTAAATAATCACAATAATTAATGAATTTGAATTCTTCTACTTTTAGAATCAGTGGCTCAGCGTACCATGTGCATACCCGTTATCACACCAAGCCATGAATTGGTGGCGGTAGTACAGTTGTCGCGAGATGCTCAAACGAAACCTTACAGTTTAGTAAGTAACTCATGTATACATAAATTTCAAATAACTATAAGGTCTTAGTAGATTTTTTTTGTTTTTAATTTAAAACTCAACCCTGCCTGTTAGGCCTCCAACAACCATTACTCTCATGATTATCTAAAATTAATTTCTTGGACAGATCTTGATTCTTTTTCTACCTCCAAGTGCAGAGGTTTAGCTTCGGCCAATCTTCATCAACTTTCAGTTTTCGACGATCAAACGCCGTATCCTTATCACTGACAGAAAGCAGTCTCTTACTGGGAGCTTTTCTTCTGGTTTGGCCTCTATCCCACCCATTTGATCTTCCTTTCATCGTACATTCAAAGTTAATACCAAACCATTTCAGTTGGCGCTGCTCCATTTCAACTGGCGAGACTCCCAGGTTCCCCGGAATACTTTCAGGCAGTATTCGGTCACTTCGGGTTTTCCCCTGGATCCTTCTAAGGATGTTCATTTTTGTTGCAGCAGTCACTTTGCTTTGCTCGTCCTAATCTCTGCTCCATAGAGCAAACCTAGTAGGAATACTGTTTTAAATAACAGGATCTCGATTCTATAACTCTGAAAACATCGGCTCTTATCTTAATTCACTATCCTTATATAGTCAGTCCTTGATACGAACTCTTTTTTATCGAATTATTAACATCCGTCTGAAACTTCGTAAATAGTTTCATCTCATCGTAATCAACAACTATTTTATTCACGAAAATTCTTGGAATTGGGGCGTTTTCAATCTAGAGGGGGGCAAACTTTGTCTTTTTAATTACAAAAATTCGTAAATACACATTTGCTTTCTGCTTGAATTGTAAAATAATTTGTTCACAAAATCGAGAAAAAAGGTGGCCTTCAAAAATATTGAGCCTTTTAGCGTGACCTACACCACCAAATTTCAAAATAACGAGGTTATATAGGACAAACGGCCCAATATTTTTGAAGGCCACATTTTTTCTCGATTTCGTGAACAAATTATCTTACGATCCAAGTAGAAAGCAAATGGGTATTTACGAGTTTTTAGTACCTACTTAAATAGACAAAGTTTGCTCCCCTCCAGATTGAAAACACACCAATTCCAAGAGTTTTCGTAAATAAAATAGTTGTAGATTACGATCAGATGAAACTATTTACGAAGTTTCAGGCGGATGGTAATAATTCGATAAAAAGGGGTCTATACCAGAGACTGATACATTTTTTCCTTCCCTCTAAGGATGATTTGGTTTAGCTTTTCTTCAGATTCTTCTTGAGATCTCGTTACTCTTCTAATCACTACACACTTCTTAAAATTAAACGACACACTCTTTACTTTCATAAGCCGCCATCTCCCAACCCCAGAATCATCACAGAAATTAGACAGTAGAGGTATAGATTGAGCCAGAAGACATTACGGATGTCCTTAAATTTCAAGGCAAATACAATTCTTATATTCCTTCATATTCCTCCGAATCCTTATGGCAACATCTTAATACCAAAGTTCAATCTTTTTACGATATTCTACCCCATGCACCTAACGCTAAAACCGTAACAGCCTCTAATTTAACTCCTATACAATTTTCACGCATTATCTAGTTCAACTGAAGAAGCTAAATTCTTCAGTCTTAAAATTCTTCTGATATTTTACCTGCGCTTCCATTTCATTCCATCCTTGATACTTCTTTTTAATCCGACAATTTTTATTTCTGTGATATTTCCCATTATAGTCTAATTCGGTCAATGATTAATGGTAAATTGGGTTCATAGAATTATCACTGGTAAAATGTAGAGAGTAGCGAAAATAATGCTAACTTATGAAACCTCTGCCTTTATAATATGTAAATTACCATATGAACTGTCAAAAAGAATATTTAAAAATATCATTAGCTTAATATAATAAAAAATAAGGAATAATTGATCAACTGATCAATTATTAGGATGAAACAAAATTGTCAGGATTTATAGTCAAGAATTTTTATTAGGTTAGCCGACGTTTCGACCCAAACATGTGGGTCATCCTCTGCGCTAAAAATTAAAAAATATGAAATAACATCAGAATAACAGTAATAAGATGATAAGTATATTTAATTATTACTATCATCTTATTTAATCTTATAAATATCATATTGTACTCTTATTACCTTTACACTTTTATATTTATTATTTAACTGATGTTATTTTATATTTTGTAATTTTTAGTACTGAGGATAACCCATGTGTTTGGGTCGAAACGTCGGCTAACCTAATAAAAATTCTTGTCTGTGAATCCTGAAAATTTTGTTTCATCCTAAACAAAAAAGGAATAAACAAAGAAAATAATATATTAGTTGTTAAATCAATACAACTGAATTATATATAAAAGGCTTAGTCGACGTGGACTGTGGAACGTAACTATTTTCAGAAGGATCTTGAATTATGTTTGAACACCTGCCATTGGATCGGGACCACATCAGAGCATTCACACAAACATTTAGGTCTGAGGAAAAAAGTTGCCATGTATGATTATTTCTACAATCTTCTCAATGCCTTTTTGTTCGAGCACATACCTTTTAGACAGTACATATCAGAGTTATTAGTAAGTATAAGCAATAATTAACTATAATGACTAAGAAACACGATACTAACAGTATGTAACATTTTATGTGCATTGAAATTTATTGCAACTATTAGACGGCTTTGTTGTCGAGATTGCCCCTGTTTGTAGTATTGCGACTTCTGTCTCGTCGAGTCTTTTCCTTCACCTTTCGCAGGTATCGCATCTCTAGAGTCTGGATCTGGCTCCTGTGTTTCGAAGTAAGTGTCCAGGACTCGGAAGAATACGTCAGTAAAGGAAGGAATACTGATCTGTAGACCGTCATCTTCGTTTCCTTGGTCACCTCTTTTCGGTTCAGGAAGCCTTTCCTAACCGAGTCGAACATTCTTCCAGCAGCTCCTATTCTCTGCCTTACCTCCTCGTCAATATATCCATTTTCGTTGAGTTGAGCACCCAAGTATTTGAAACTTTCCCCCTGTTCCAAAATCTCACCATCTAACATCAAGACCCTCATAACCCTGTTTTCTTCCAATGCGCAAGCATTCCGTCTTCTCAGGGTTAATTTCCATATTGGTTTCTCTTAAATCTTCCTTTAGGATGTTAATGTTGTTCTGGAGGTTACGATCATTCTGGGTCAATATGAAAATATTTTCATTTTAATCAAAATTAGCTTGAAATTATTTGTGTGTTGGAATTCTCTATACTAATGTAAATTTTTAATTTAGTATAGTTAGTATTAATCTATTAATCTTTTATATGTCATTGTTCCGGAAGCGGAACATATATCAAACAAGTTTTTTGGCCAACTTAATTATTATATTTTTCAAAAACAATTTTTTCCGTCAAAGCAAAGGTTGACATTTTTTTTTTCAATGAAGATTTAATCATTTTTACTTCTATGAATACAAAGTTGAACTTTCTTTTTAATGTCGAGAGGTTTTTTTTGTAATACTACAGCAATGAAATTTAATTTTAATATTAATTGATTGTGATAGATTACTGAAAATAATGCAATTTAGAAAATGTAAAAAAAAAATTCTAAGAATCAGTTTTAATAATATTAATATTTATGTTCCACATATGGAACAATGGCAGGTTCACGCTATAGAAATGTTTTTTCTGTTCATTGTTTCCTACTTTGTTTTCTAAGTAGAAAAATGCACATGGAAATTCGTAGAACTAGTAATTGCTATTCTAAGATTTCGTAATATTTGTATGATTCCTTACAGATAGAGAAAAACTGCATACTTTTTTTTTTTTAGTTTCTTAGAACATATATTATTGGAAAGATAACGCCAAACCTCCTTTGTTTTTCTCAGTTATTACTGTGTTCTTGTAGTGACTGCATGATGTTTCCTACTCACATTTTACAATAATTGGATGATGCGTGCTTTACCGTGGAAAAATAGTCCGCTGACAGGTCTGAAGACTTCAACGTTAACTATGACAATTTCAGATTTTTTTTTTTTAAATCCTTCCTAGCAGTTGTAAGGCAGGTGGACATTCTTCCCTAAGAAGGTGTCTTCATTGTGGTACCAACCCAAAATGTCAATGCAAAGAATGCCAGAAACGCATTCATATTGATTGTTTCTCCCAATATTATTGAAAACAACAATACTTGTATTGAATATTCTAATAAAACTATTAAGAAAAAATGTTCTTTGTATAACCTTAACCTGCCATTGTTCCACTTCTGGAACAAGTTGAAAAAGCAAAAAGGAATTTTTTTTTTAGAAAATATCAAAACTGATACATATTGTGACCAATATTACAGATAAAAATTTCTACTGGAAATAGGGGGCGTCATCTAAAAGTTTAAATCGCGCTTTTATTGCTTTTTAGAAAGAATAAATTATATTTGATACATATTTTTTATTTTTTAGTGTTACGGTGCGAAAATAATGAATGCTCAATGTAGCATATTTTATATGGTATCGGGAACCGGGCACAATTATGATGCCCACCATGACATCAACTACGATATGTACATGAATTTAGAAAAGTTTATCCATTTTAAGAAAATGACTTTCGGGTGAGATTCCTTTATGATACTGACTGGATCACGGTTTGTTGTACAAAATCAATATACATTTTTTTTTTTCCGTGGAAAGAATATGAAATATGTATATGTATTTTCTTTACTGCGTTCCAGCCATGAAATAAAGACTGTGGCATCGGAAACACGGAGACAAAACAAAATGCTGAATCTCGGTAAAGAAGAACTTTTCATGAATTATAACTTGGATATTTATAATCCCGTCGTGGTGACCTCGAGTTTGGCAGCAACTTCGCAAGGATATGCAGCCTACAGAGGTGAGTGAGGGGATTTTTTTATACTCTACTTTTGAAAGATATATTATTTTATCAAAGCTTGTAACTAAAGTTAATACATTATCATTATCAGAAGTTTCTAACGCAAAGCCGTAACTCTCTCGAATTGTTTAAAATAACCAAATATTCATTATTAAAAATTAACAAAAAAGAAAAAAAAAACGATAACGGATATAAACATATTTTAATATCAATTTAAAAACACTGATAGATCGTTTATGAAAACAACGAAATGCCTCGTATTTATACGATGCTTCCTATCTCTGCCTGATTAGTCTTTCTTAGACTGTTGATGTGAGATGTATCATCTTAGTAGTGCCGGCATTGAGGTGGAGCAACCGAAGCGCCGAACTGGAGGGACGCCTGTTGGGGGCGCCGCCTGATCTTCAGGGGCACTCACCACTGGTCAGAAATTTTTTTTTTTTGGACTTATTTATTGAAAAATATTACAATCTGTCTCTAGGACATTTATAATAGAGTTCACAGATCACATTCACACTCTATGTGTTCAGAAATTAAAAAAAAAAATACAAAACGTATTAAAATAATTAGTTTTAGCCTATCAATAAATTATCTGTATTAAAATAATGTTGGATGAAATAAGATTAAAATATTAAACAATTTAAGAAATAAATTTAATTTTTTAGGGGAGATATGAGATGACGTCATTGCCCGGGGATTTTTGAATCATAAAAAGGTTTGGGTTATTTTGATATACTAGATGTGTTTTTGAATTGATAAATAAATTAAAATTCACAAAAAAAAAAACGTACTTAAAAGTATAGCTCCATCAAAAATAATAATTTGTTGATACCTTAGTCAACTTAATTCAGAATTTTATTCGAAAAATAAAATATAAAATACATATTGCAACTTGCTTTGTTATTAATCTCTACGGAACAAATTTATTTTAGATTTTGACATCAAGTTAGATTGGTATCAATCCAGGAGAATCATCGAAATCTGTTTTTATTTTTATTTAATTAATCTGTTTTTAATATTTATTTATTTTTATTGCCATCCATTTATATATATATATATATATATATATATATATATATATATATATATATATATATATATATATATATATATATTATTTTTTCCCCCTCTTCCTGGGGGGAAGGGGAGAGTCTCGGGGCAGCATATGGCTTTCCCTGGTGTTTACAAGAACTCCTATTTATTGATACAAAAACAGTTTGAATACATCAAAAGAACACTAATCTTATACTACATAAGAAATAATCGCAGTTACTGTAAGTGTAAAATATTTTGATTACAAAAAAGGAGATTTTATCCAATTAATGTGTTATTTAATTTTCTAAAATGCTACTTAATAGTTTTTTGCAATAAATTTACGATGTGTTTATTGTGGTCAGAAGATTTACTATCTAAAAATGAATTCAAAGTTATAAAGTCAGACTTAATTTTTCTTGTGATGCTTTCTTTTTCAGGAGTCGCCGAAATGATCAATAAGCAGGATAATGTCAAGTTTTGTGCTGAAGACGAGGAAATATTTAAAAACATTCTTCTACATGCTGACTATGTCCTCTCATGTCACAAACTTTCTGAAGAAATACGTAAACTAGTAAATACATTTATATATTAGTCAACCTCATGTTAATTAAATAATACAATTAAGAATAATAATATGCTATACGTAATGCCAAGTTGATCCAGTATAGTTTTCCATAAAACTTAAATATTCAATTGAAATTTTACCAAAACTAAACTTATAACGGTATCATTTTTCAGGAAGCTTGTTTGAAAACTAGAAATGAGACACTTGAATTGCTTTTTGAACCCTGTCGGCATGACAAGATCAATTATAAAAATATCCAAGTTGAAAAGGATCCAGAATTGTATTCGTAAGTATTTACAAAACAAATATTCACAGAAAATGTTCATGGAGCTATTTTTCAATTTCACTTTTCACTATTATATTAAAAGAATAAGTATCTAAAAAAATATTCGTAATATATGATGAGAAATAAATAATTTCAGATATATTCTGTCTGCAATCCAAAATAAACCGATTTTCTTTCGAAAGATAATTTATAAACATTTTTTTGTGAAATTGCTTTCAATTAATTATTTGTGCCAAATATATTTTACCAAACTTATTATATTATTGTGACACCCGATTTGTTGGATGAATAAAATATTGCTGGAGATGGGGACAGAGATTCCACGAAACGTACATTAAATAAACTCTCAACAACTAATTTTGATTATTATTAAACTGACCAGAATTTCTCAATTCTGGCTAATAGTATGCCGGTTTGAGTTGAGGTTATTGCGGAGCCGAGGTGTTTGAATTTGTCTACTTTCGAGAATGAGTTAAGAATCCACGCAGATATTGCTATTAAGGTGGATTTTCCAGCTAACATATATTTTGTTTATGAGGTTTCATTACCTAACATTGATATAATAAATAGAGTTTGTGTTATTGCAATGTTCTTAATCAGTGTTGGTATTGATAAATATGACTGAAAATCATAAATGTATTCTTTAAGGAATAGCTCCATTTTTAAATATTTATTTATTGAGCAAAAAATACATTTTGCCCCAATTAAGGGCATTAGTATTTGAGATGTAAGAGACTCATTCATAATATATATATACAATAACAAAAAAAACAACAGAAAAATTATAACAAAATGAAAGAAAAAGAGAACTTTAAGGAAAAGTAAAACAGAAGAAATAAAACATGAGATAACATTAAATAAAAATATAAAAACACATTCATACTTATTTACAATATTTACAGTCAGCCGAACCAGCTCCAAGTCGGGCTCTTTCTTCCATGTGTGGAGGATAAGGCAGACTATAAGTGATCCCAGCGCTTATTTCTCAGCCGCGTCACTGTGATGGGTATCCAGTGGAGACTGAGAGGGCACTAAAGCAGCAAGACTTGAGTGGAGAATCTGGCCATTGCCAGGACTCCAATGATGTGTTTACAAAAGATCTCAAGGTCACTGCCGTTTCAACCTTCGACGAGGATTGAAGGGATGGCTGAAACTGGATAAGGATTGTGCTAAGAGATTGGGATGATGGATTAAGTTTTGATGAAAATTTCAGAATTGGGATGGGATAACGTCAAGGACATAGGAGATTTCAAAGTCATGATGTAGAGTTTTGTTTGAGACATAATAAGGAGCTTTGACTATTGTACGAAGGACTTTGGATTGGAAGGATTGGATGCGTTTGATGTTCAAAAGTTTAGGTGTCCCCCATAGTTCAAGACCATAGGTCCAGATGTATTTTAGTATGGTCTAGTAAATTAATAATTTGTTTTCTATTGAGAGATTAGAGTTTATTTTAAGTAGTCAATATAAATGGCTAAATCGTCAATTGAGTTATTGTCTTTTAAGTCTAATATGGGGGTTCCATGTTAATTTTTTGTCTAAAATGAATCCAAGATACCGAACTGTGTCTGAGATGGGAGAGTTAAAAAGGATAGGTGGACAGGATCTGCGTCGGAGTGTAAAGGTGACATGCTTGCATTTGGATTCGTTAATTCAGATGCGCCAATAGTTGCACCACTACTCAATTTGGAAGAAGTGTTTTTGTAGGTTTTGAGACGCTGCTTCAGTGTCTGGGAGGAATGAAAGTAGGCGGTGCCGTCAGCGAATGTTGCTAGGGTATCGTGATTGGTTGAGATTCCAGCGTTGAAGATGTAGAGAACTGGGCACAAAACATTGTCTTATGGAACACCAGCTTCAACTGGATAATGATTGGAGAATTCAGTGTCGAAGTGGACTTGAAAGGAACGGTCGGAGAGATAGGATTTGATGAGTAGGTACAAGGATTGGGGTAACTGGATTTTGAGTTTGAAAAGCAAGCCATCGTGCCACACCCGGTTGAAAGCTTGTTCTACGTCCAGAAAAGCACCAGTGCACTATTGCTTGTTTTCAAGCGCATAGTATATATGGTTAATAACACAAAGGCCTTGTTGAACAGTGGAATGTCTTGAGCGGAGTCCAAACTGGTGGAAAGGGATATTGTGGGATTCGAGTATGGGTAGGATTTTTATATGAGTTTGAGTAGGATTTTTTCAAAGAGTTTTGGGAGGATCGGGAGCAAGCTTATTGGCCTCTAGGATAAGAAATTATTATCTGGTTTACCTGTCATAGAGAAGAGGATAATTATGGAGTGTTTCCACATGAGAGGAAAATGAGTTGTGTGCAGGATAGAGTTGTATAAGGATGTGAGGAATATGATTGCAACAGCTCCATTAAAAAAAAAATTAATATCACAAATGTAGCTAGACAATAATTGCTGTTCAAAGTAGAGCGGTAAGTGAAAGTTATGTGATGCGCGCACCAGATTTTTTTGCTTTCTAACCCATTTTAACTTAAGCGACATTTTGTCTCATAAATATGACGTCATTGCTTAGATATACCAGTACCAAAAGTTTGCAGTCCAATTGTGTATTGTAGCAGTTACGAAATCAGTTACCATCGTCCTATGTTATTTATACTCATTATTGAAGCAATATTGTTTCATTAGGAACAACATAGGTGATCAATTTGCTTTGCGTATCGCCCATTTCCATTTACGTTAGTAATATTATACCAATTTAGAATAATAATTATCGGAACAAATGATATTAATAATACAAGTCAAGAACTTAAAGGATACAGTCTGATAACCTTTCTCAACGGAGTTTACACGATCCTGACGCGGATCATAAATTATAACATTATGAAAACAAAAATGGCAATCTTACTTTTTCCTCAGATTTAGTTTATTTAGCGATAACTTTATTTATTTAATTCTTTTATATAGCTTGGTTCCTAAATATTTACAAGTTTGGATATTTTATGATGCTTCAAAAATAATAACCCTGAAATGAAAACAAATCACCTCAATCTAAAAAGATGGGATTCCTTCCAACCTATAATCTCTTAAGATGTAGCGGTGAAAGTCAACAAACTCTACTTTCTCAGTCTTCAGGCATTGCTCATTAGCTGTTAAGTTAAGTAAAATTAGGTCAATTTTATAACTTAAATTTAAACATGGGATAATTACTTACATTCTTTTGCCTACAGAGTGAACTATGCTCCAGGTACCGTATGCTACCTGACACTTTGCAAGATCATCGACTTGATGTTCGAGGACATTTTGCACAGGTGGAAACTAATTGAACCAGAAGACCGGGCTAGATTCTTATTGATGGTTCAAAAGGTATCTACCGATTCAGAACCTTTGGATTTCTTGAAGATATTTTGTTCTGTCCATTGTGTGGCGACTATTATCAAAAGGTGTCCTAACGTTTTCACGGATGTAGAGGTATAGCTGTCGGCTCTCACCGTAATGATGATAATAATATAAAAAATAGAATTTCAAATTTTAATGACAACATTTGTCAACAGAAAGAGTTGCTTTTGTACAGCGCCCTCTGCCACCAGATCAACGTTTCGGGAACTGATCAAGAACTCTCCGAGGACTTGGATATCTTTCCAGATAAAGTTGGACACGAATATAGTTCTAGCTTCTTCTACACCAAACTTATTTTTAAAGCAAGTAACTTTTTAAAACATTTTATTAATATTTGAATGATATGTCGAATTGTTACAAATATTAAAATATGTTTTGCTATTTATAACTGTATTAACATGACATGACATCTATTCATTAAACATTTATCCATTGATAGTACCCCAATGACGGTTTTCTTAATAAACCCATCTCAGTAGTGCATGGCCAATTTTTTCAGATCTTTGAGGCCAATTTGCTTTGAAATGAATACTCTCAAATGGCCTGAAATATCTCATTCAAAATAAAATAAATTTTATTTTTCCCTCTCCTGTTTCCTACAGTATGTTTTTGGATGGTTTCATGAGATGTCAATAGCAAATGTTATTTTTCTCTCTCTTTCTTTCTGCATGTATACAATCTTTTTTTTTCTGTTCTGATGATCCCTGAATTGGCGAAAAGTTGTCAAGAGAGAAAGAAATACTTTACTTAAAGCAGTGGTGCCCTACTATATAGGGTTGCTCGATACACAGCATACTCATCAATCATTTTTTTTTGGACATACAAATTCTTTTTCATATTACACAGCACAAACAATATCAATAGTATAATATTCTAATACATACAATTACAATTATACAATATATTATAAATACATATATACAAGACAATTTCTAAAATTTATAGGGCTAAAAAAAAAAAAAAAAAATAGTATTCGAATGCCAAAGTTTTAACACCAGAAAATTAAAACGCACACACAGCCAGTAACGTAATTCTATGAACATAGACAAAAAGATATGGTAACTTAAATCATTTAAAATTGAATAAATAAATAAATAACGATAATCAACCCCTAATTAGCGTATATGTGATGATGAATGATCAAATGGGAGTCCAGAATAATATCCTCGACCAACACTGCAAGCTCCCCGACATCAACACCTAGTTCCTCGAAGAAGCTTCCTGTTCTTTTAGGAGTCATTCCGCAAGACCCAAACCAGAGGCCTCTCACTGTGAACTCTCTCCGAAGGTCTCGTGGAATTTCTATTTTAGGAAAGGGACGCATTTCTCGTAGATTTCCCTCTTTTCTCTTTCTACTTAATTGGCTTGATCGAGATCGTTGCTCTCATAGCGAACAGTTAGATCAAAGACCAGTGCCGCCTTTCCGGTCCTAAATAATGGAACTATATCCGCTTATCTTGTTGATCCATCACTATCAATACAATATATCTCGTTGAAGCATACGAATTCCCTTTCCCTAAGGAGCCTCATCAAATCTAATTGTACCCTATGGTGCCGGCGTGTTATGAGGAGGTAGTTGTTGGGGGCATTTTCCCAGCACATGGGCTGGTGTTTCAGACTCTCTGCCGCATTTGCGACAGAGTGACCCAACTTCCTTCGACTGTCCACTGGCTCCTGGGACTCCACGCAACGGTGCATAGTTGATGTTAAGTTTCAAGGAGTTTGACCATTCTGACACCGAAAGTACTTGCTTCTGGCATATATATTTATTAGCTTTCGGAGTGTATAACTCCAACGGCTTGCCACCTGCAACTGTCCCATTCTTCAAAACTATTCTCCCTCAGCTACTGTCTTAGAGCTCTCATGCTTCTGTAGCCCTGATCAACACCCAGTCTCTCCGCACATTTGGCTATTTCGGCGTTATAATTAAATATAGACTGGTACAGGGCATCCGGTACACTGGATTGTCGTTGGGCAATGGACCAATGTTGCAAAGGAGCCTCCCATTGACAGCGGATCACTCCCAATCCTCGATACCTCCTTGGTGCATATAACATCGCCGATGATGTATTAGCGGGGAGCCCTATGATCGCCTTGATACTCCTGCGGATATTTACATCAATCTCCTCCAATAATGCAGGCCGTATCTATGTAAGAGGCGCCGTCTGGAGAGGGTAAGTAAGCCCCGGGAACACATATTTATTAACTACATTGGTCTTTTGCTCCGGTTTGAGAAGGCAAGAGCTCACCAGTTTATCCAATTTTTCGTTAAATTTTTTTTATCTTTTCCTCATTTATTACTAGCTCTCCCGAGAACGTGCATCCTAAATATTTTGATGTATGAATGACTTCTCCGTTCTCAAGGGAGAGCTTTGTTTGTTGCAGCTCTCCTTTATCCATTATTAGGATTTTCTTCGGATTAACACCCAAACCGATCTCGGGGAGGATCCTCTGTACACAGTTAATTATCCTTTCTGCAGCACCCTTGTCGCGTGCTGAAACAGCCTGGTCATCCGCTAAGTCTGTGAAGACCACACATTCTAGGTCGCTGGTGAGCTTGTATCCATAATGCTTAGAAAATTCTTGCTCAAATACAGCTTTGTATCACATACAGTTCACTTGTATGTTGAAGAAGCATTTCTTTATAGTTTGGATTGTTCCATTCATAAAATCTCTCGAGCCTTTTGCTGGTTTTTATAGTATTATTTGTGGAGTAGCCGTGTTTTCACTAATTTTTGTGAGTAATAAATGTTTTTTACACCTTCAAGGTTTTTTGTTTGTATTTAATAATTTGTTCTTCCTTTTTTTTTGTATTTCATTTTACTACCAAATTTTTGTATCACTAATGTCCAGTGTTAAACATTTTGTTTTTCCTGTATCCTGCTATTTAGCTGTTTTATATAACCTTCATCTCCTGTTTCCTTCAGTATGTTTTTGGATTGCCTCATGAAATGTCAATAGAAATTTTATTTTATCTCTTTCTTTCTGCGTTTATGTGATCTTGTTTCACATTTATAAAAGATACCGGAGAGTGACGAAAAAAATATAAATAATAAATTCAGAAAACTTACACTATTTAACGTGAATCACATGTTTTCGAGGAAATTAAATGAAATTTTCATACTAAATGTAATCTTTTAAATTTTTTTCCAAGTTTAAAAAAAAGTATTTAAAGCCCACTGAATCAAGCCAATGCCATTGTTTAAAAGACTATTTTATTGCCCTTGTGTGAAAGAAGAGGTGAAGTATAAAAATATTTCATCGATATGTTTATAACCTTAAATACATTTACTGTAGTTTAATAACTCTAGATATGATATTACATTTAAATAATTAGATATCTATTGGTCATTTATTAAAAAAAAAACATCAAGTAACCTTTTAGAAAATTAAATTCGTGAATAATTTGATGAATTTTCCCGTTGTGAAATCCCAACATTATCCACTTACAATTAGTGTGACAACTTTTGACGTATCCATGGCGGGCAATGAAAATCTCATAATTTCATTTTAGTAATCTTTACTATGAAAAATAATAGTTTAATAACTACTAGTCCTTCAATCCATAATCATTTATAGGTTAAATATTCAGATATACTTTCAAATATCTATGGGCATATATGAGCCTTTCGGTTGACAGAATGACTAATTCGAATTTCAACATTCTTTATTATTAATTTTAGTGATGTTTATAGTGGAAAATTTATACCTTTATTCACAGTTCTGTATTTTAACACTGCAATCACCTACTCTGGAATCAACATACTCAATCTCTATATAGACATAACTTATGATGATTATTATGACCACATTATTATGACGTCATTGAGACTGCATAGGTAAAATGCAAAGATATGGACTTACAGAGTATTAATTTGAATTCATGTGACTTCATTAATTATATTTCATAATATAAATTAATTATATATTTATATTAATTAACTATATATTTATATAAATATATAAATTAATTTTCTATTTATAGAAATATGTAATGAATCTGTTTAAGATAACTGCTTCCTTTTAATGAAAAGTAGCCATGTAGGATAGTACTAATGTAATAATTCAAAGCCTGTTTCAAATTAAAAAAAAATTCTTTTTTAAACAGTATTTCAGAAACAGGAATTAATACTTAGCAGGATTTCTTATTATTTAATCTTAAAAACCATTACACCAATTCGGGTTGATACGACGAACCTAACGGAACAAAATGATGAACTGTAAATAAATATAGCAAATTAGAAGATTGGACACTGTTACCAAAGTGAATGTTAAATAATCAATACTGTTAGCTAACGATGTTATAGAAGTAAAAATAATTGTAACGATAACTTTTATTGTTATACATATTTTGAAGGCTTAACTGTTATAAGGCATCAAGTTAACTGTTTGGGAGACTACAAACAACTAAAATAATTTTTTTCAAATACAGACTTCAAATAAAATGAATCACTATTTTTTAGCCAAAAAAATTTATTTTTTGATAATTATGCACTGCACCCTATAGATTAACTTTTTATTAATTTTACTCTACGTGTTTATATTATAAGCTATAAAAATGAAATGTATAGTATTTTGAATAGACTGATATATATATATATATATATATATATATATATATATATATATATATATATATATATTACTAAAAACATTTAAAAAATAATATTATTACATGGATTAATCGAGAATTGTAGACATTAAAAAAATGATTAAATAATGGAAATCAATTGCGAAAATAATTCATACTTACTTATAAATGACGTTCTTCTTTTTTTGTCTATGTTTATCATCGTTCTACGTAATGCTTTATTTAAATCCATAAGCCTGGAATAAAAAAGATATTTGGAAAAAGAAAAAAAAAATCGCACTGAGTAAAAATATTTTAAAACACCTACTAATGGAGTAACTTAATAAATTTCTGCACCCATAAGCCGGACTGAAATAAATTCCAGATTGACCATATCGCTGTTTTGTTCTAATAATTGTTTAAAAATCTTATTTTATTATTATGAGTAAGGGTATTATTATAATTATTTTATATAATTTTTATTACTACAATATACATCGAGGCTATTTTCTTTACTATATTGTTATGCTAAGCTATCTTTTGCTTCAACTTTTCTTGATGTTGATAAGTTATACCGCTCATTGATCATATATTTTATTAACAGAACTGTCAAATATTTAGTGATGAAGAGGAGTCGACACAAATGCTCGATAAAATGTCCAAACTGATGGAAGCATGCTATTATGAAATGGTGGAAGGCAAGCTAGAAAAAATACTTGTGTTACTTGCTAACAAGAAGTTTAATTTGGAGAAGCCGAGGCACAAGTATTAATTCAATTAATTTATTTAGTGATGCAGGAATTTTAGTATAGCATTGTAGTGGTTTTCCATGACGAATCCTTTTTTACTTTCACTTACCTATTATGAAATAAATAATAAAGGAAAGTATTGTATTACAATCGTGAAAATTTTCGAGTTTTCATCGGAAATACACGATTTAAGGACCCTGAGTCCAAATAACACAGTATCATAAAATGTTCTTTGTGTGTGTTTATGTATGTATCCTCGTATGCATCATGGAAATATATCAGCAATAATACAGTCTAGATCAAAAACGAATAGTCGCACGAAATTGAAATGATATATTTTAGGTAGGTTTATGCCTAATGTTATTGCAACTTTTTAGCTCAAATCGGCTAACCAAAAGTGGCACTATAGATTTTTCAACATGTTAACAATATTTTCAAAAACGTCTTGAACGATGTCGATTAGATTATTTATATCAGGATAAAATTAAGTTGTCTTAACTAATAGATTGGTGTTATTCACATTTTAATAATCTTGTATGGCTCAAATGTCGAAATGTCAAATGTTTTTTTCCTCTAAAGTACTTCAGATTTTGTCTATTTAACATAATTAATCGCTTCACATAATAACCAGGAATAAAAATTGTTAAGTGTAAACCATGAAAGAATTAATAATGATAAGTAACTAAAGGAGAAATAAGAGATGGTAATGTGGCACCGAAGAAAACCGAGTGCGCATCCGAGCTTGATCGAAGGGTATAAAAGACTTCCTAACAAAAAAGATTTTTAACAAAAAACGGGCTCCGATAATACTGTATACGTACACTTCAGCGGTTTTCATAAATATTAAGAAGTGCTGATATTACTTAATATTTAATTGTGTAGATTAGAGCAATAAAAAATTGAAATTTGTATTTATACTAGTGCTTCAACAAATAAAAATAACCACAATGAAATATAAATAAATACAGTTGCCTTGTTTATCAAAGGAATCCTTCTTGGACTGAAAAAAAAATCTTGGCACATAATTGTTTATTATAATATAATTAAATAAATAATTAAAATAAACAGTCATATAAGGAAACGTACATTACATTATTCTATTTTATATATATATATATATATATATATATATATATATATATATATATATATATATATATATATATATACATCTAACATACTAACATATATATTTTCTTAAAAACAAAATAATAATACATTAGACAGTAGGGAAGAACATATGATAATTAATTGTTTCAAATAATATACTCTACCGTCTGTAATTTTTAATTTCCCTTCACAAAGAACTGAACATTTGGCTAAGAAATGGATAAAATCCACTTTTAGGGTTTATATTTTATCACTTATATTTTTTAATGAAACTATGGGGTATAATCAGAGATGTGCAAAATCAAAATCAATGATTAAAAATTAATAATAAAAATAACATTTAATTGCAACACCGATTTTATACCGATTTGATACAATAGGACTATAAGCATAACAATAATGCGAGACGACTAATAACAATCGTAAATGGAAATCTGATTACGATTTTAATCGTGTAATCACCTAACCAAAATGGCTGTAAAAATATAATCGTAATTGTAATATGTGATTATGAATATGAAGGTGTTTCGCATCTAATTTTAAGCATTAATTTTTTATTTATTTTAAATGATATTTACAACTGTATACAAAAAAATACATCTAGTAAATTTGCACATTGGTATAAAGACATGGAACACATGTTGAGAAACTACCCATTGGTAGCACTCTAAGCATTAATTTTAATTTGTCTCTCAATAAGTTCCTAAGAGCAACCATGCACGACTTAAAAAGTTTAATATTAAACCTCAATGCCTTGTATAAAACGGAATTCACTGGAATTCATTGTCACCAGTGCACACCATTCTCTATTTTGCCCAGAAAATGGAGACGGTAATGATATAAATTTTCAACTGAATACATTTTTCATAAGAGAACAGTAACTAACGAGCTATCAAACGAACCCACGAATTGCACTAATGCTTTAACCAAATTGACTAACGTTTTATAATCTCTAATGTGATAAGAGAGAACATCTAGAGAGATGGGAGACGAGTCCAGCACGTCAAAACAATACCTATAATAAATAAAAGGGACTTAATATCAATAACATAAAAAAAATGTATTTATTTTACTCTATATTTAAGATGATGTAAATGGTATGCTGAGATGTAAATAAACTGATGTATATAATATTTTGTAGGCATTTAGTGCGTATTTGTGTGATGGTTGTGGCTGGTTTTGCAGTGCATTTTAAACCTTTTTCAGTCTCTGTTGAATATCAGATAAAAAAGACACTCGGATCCTCAAACTGTTTTAAGGAGGTAATTCATTTTATTATTCGTTATCTTGAACTTAATACCTACTTCTTTTTTGTTTGGGTATTTTATTATTAGACTAAAAATAAACAGTGTTAACTTTGTATTCAAGAGGGATTTATATGAATTCTTTGGGATTGCGAGAATCATTTTATGAAGTGTGGTCCACTGCGACGGGTAAGCCCCTAGCAAAGATAATTGAGAATAGTTCCAAGCAAGTACTTTTGGGAAAACAGAGGAAACCCTAATCAAAGGAAAACAGACGGGCTTTCGCTAGTCTTACCTGTGTGAATAAGATGCTGAAAGGTTTCGCCATAGAATCGAGAGTTGTAAATTTAACGCAAGAATGAAAGATCGGAGAATCGTTCCGTAAATTAAGTTCTTAGATCATCGGAGTAAATTAAATGAGCAATACTGTCAAACATTGATGTCCCTACTCTGATAGTGGTGACGCTTCAGAATGAAATTTCATGCTATGTGCATTTCACAAGTAATTATGCACATTCGCTTTTGCTACTGTGAATCTACTTGTTCGAAACCTGAACATCAGATTCGTCTTAGCTTTTTTTTTTATCAAGAAGCTTAGATCCAGATGTGCTGTATCTTTATATTAATTTAGAGGCAATACTCTGCTGCGGTTCAACTTGATTTAAAACCTAAAAAATCCATATATATGTATGTATGTATAAAGACGGTCACGCATCCTTAGCCCACATTTTTGTCTCTCTGTATTATTCTAAAGGGACTCGTCCCACAATAAATGAATCATTATTATTATTATTATTATATATATATTTTTTTTCGGTTGGCACTACAGACCATGAAGATCTTTGGCCGCGAGATGTGGTCTTCTTACAGACGTATGCTCCTTGCGGAAGCTGAGATAGCCTGAAGGGGGTCACCCAACCTCATGTTGCTACTAGTTAGTCTCCATGGTGCAGCGGCAGGCCATCCGTAATTTCATAGCCGATCCCTTTGGTACCAATCTGGCAATGTCCTTCCCACCGACTCACTCGTGTTCAAGGACAGTGGCAAATCGAACTTGATCCATGGATTATGGCTACTCGGAGTCAGCAGGCGCAAGAGAACCTGAATTTTTTTCTTGAACCAGACGTCCATGGACGTCCAGGATGTTTATAGCCTCAGGAAGGTTGCCTCCAGTAGCCTGACGGGACTCACATACTCGGGAGGGGGGGGAGACTCGGGCAGCATGGCTTTTCCTGGTAGACGGTCACCCATCCAAGTACTAACCACGCTCGATGTTGCTTAACTTTGGTTACCTATTGCAACTGCCTTAGCCCGTACGGCTACCCAGCTCCCTAATACACACACATATATATATATATATATATATATATATATATATATATATATATCCCGTATATATAAATGCAAATATAAATATCCCGCGTGGGCGTATAATACTAAATGTTAGCCGAAAATCTAAGAAAAATAATTTTAATAATTTTTGTTCTATTCTAATTATGGTTTATATAAAAATATTTATAAACTATAATTTCAATAAAATAAGTAGTATAATATTTTATAGAGTTTGAAATCGTTTATATACCTGAGATATTCACATATTCAGTCTTGCTTCCTCCTGATATAAAAGCTGCGTATGGTCTTGTACGATTCGTAAGCATCGTTAAATATAGTATCATTTTTTTAAATTTCATTTTTTTTTTTTATTTCAGAATCAATGCGACCCATCCAAGAAATTCGAATCTTTTGACCGTGTGGAGTTAGCTTTAACGCAAACTAGATTTCTGGACACAATAGTCCTTCCTTGGGCAATTATTTTAAGAACCATACTTCCACCTACGACTCCAATGATATTCAGATTAGTGTAGGTACTTTATTTATTTCCATATTTACCTGCCTCATATGTTTCAGAGGCCATTATTGACAATTAATTACAATAAAATCTTATCATGGTACCCTACTCAACGCACACAATCGGTGAAGCGTCATACTTCACCATGACTGTTAAAGTAATAATTTTCTCAATAAATTATTTAGTGTATTCAGGTACATTTATTTGTTTTTAAGTTATTTTATTCTTGTTTATTGTATATATATATATATATATATATATATATATATATATATATATATTATTTTTCTGTTTAATTTATTTTTATTTATTGTACAAGAGTGTGAATGTGATCTCTGAACACTATTATAAATATCCTATGATACAGGTTGTAATATTTCTTAATAAACAAATGTAAAATTAAAAAAAAAAATCATTATCTTGCCCTATTGAAAATCTCCCTCCAATTGAAGGCAATATGACAAATCTATCCCTGAACTTGTATTAATCCATTGTATTCGCTCAAGAACTCTCGCCATACCTGTTTTTTTTTTTTTTTATTAAACATAATAAAAAGTTTCTTTCAATATTATCCGAAGTCTCTTACCGTTACAAATGATATTTAATTTGTCGAAGAAAATCACAATATTTTAAGTTTTGAAATTAAACAAAACGAGATATGTATTTTTGGTAGCCATAACATTAGAGAGTCATTTCATTGCGCGCAATAAATGAAAACATGTTTTCTATAGACTGTGGCGCGAAAACTATATATATATATATATATATAACTCACAGAAGGTTATAACAGTCTCTTTTTGACATGTGTTTATTTTAAATTGAAAGAAATAATCTTGTGTTTATTTTGAATTGAAAGAAATAATATTAAGTCTTAGAAGTCTTATCTATCTCACACCGGGCCTTAACTCCCCCCTGCCAGTTTATGAATATTCTTCGTAAACTAATATCTGAATCTTACAGGTAGGTCAAGTCCGGAGTGAATCGTCATCAGGCTATACTATTTCATCAATAAAATTTTACATTGGTATACAATGAGAACTTTGCATTGTGGTTACTTTATTCACTTGATGCAAAAGAATGGTTAAGCAATAAAAACAATAAAAAAAATCTGATTTTGATGAAACTTTCCTATAACGTTCTAATCATTGTCCTTTCAATTTTTGTATATAGACTAAATTCCCTAAAAATTTCAGTGTATATTAATAGCCTGTCGTTTGAAAGGTAATGAAATTCCCCACAAAGCCATATAAAAATCGTTTATTTTTGACAATTATTAACGAAGTTACAGCTATTCAATTTCCAATGTAAGATTACGGGTTCATATCTTGGGTTCAGAAAGGGGTGAATGAGAGAATAAAGATGACTAAGTGAAAGCAAGAAAATCTGTTGCCCGCTTCACACAATCTTCACTATTTCCTCTACTTTTAACAGAAATTATTTTTTTGGCAATACTAAGCTATGGCAAAAAGTTTTTGATCAGCAATATTAGTGAGTATTGAAATGTTTACACTGATGTACCTTAAGCCGGTTTACATTGCTTTAGTTCATCAAATAAATCGTACTCAAATTTTTTGTTTGAGTAATTTTCAGGCAAATAAATCTAGTTCAATTCTTTTTTGTTTCTTCATGAACATATGTAAAGATATAAAAACTTTTCTGAAATAGGTAGGAAAGTCGTGTTAGTGGACACACCAGATATTTTTTATCTTGTATATATGTATACTTATTCTCTATATCTTTTTATTTATCTATTTTTTTTTACTTTATTATTTATATTTATTTTCCTTTCTTAAGTACATATTGTGTGAATGAATACTGTAGCCCTAGTACTTATGCCCTTTTATTTCATTTTAGAAATTTTATTTCATTGGAAAATTTCTTTACAACCATTTTATTTTTCATTATAGATAAGTCATAGAAATGTCATGAAGGCATTTAATAGTTGCTTAGAGTGATCAAATGGATACATCGTCGGCTACCCAAGCCTTATATTTTTAAGGAAATTTAGCAAATTTGCGATTTCGGGTGTTTTCTTTAGCAACAAAATCAGAGACTGGACGTACATTATATGATCATTTTTAGAAATATTTTTATTAGTTTGAGATGTGTTTATGTTATATTATAACTGACAAAAAATATATTTTCGTTGCATTGCGAAATTTTTCTATAATTTTAAATTTAATCTTTTACAATCCGAACAGGTAATGCAATCTACTTGTTCGGATTATCAAGGCCATACTGAAGTGTAAATTTTTAATGATGTCATCACTGATCACTGATGTGCCCGATGTTGCAGGGAAGAGCGTGAGAACTGGAACGAAATCACAAAGAGCGACATCTGCAGGGACTTCTGGATCCCGCTCAAAATCGAGCCGGTCCAAGGGAGGAACAACGACATCATATCCTTCTTAGAGAGCAACGCTAAGCGCTGTCAAGGACCCGACGATTCTTCGGAACATGTCATCGATTATGAGAGGGCTCTTGAAGGGAGCCAAGATAAGAACGAAACCCTCGAGGATGCAAGCTTATACAGTGGAAGTTTTAATGGCTGGTATAAGTTCAAGAAGACGTGAAAATATTTATGTACATAAATAAATAGAGTGTGCGGATCTCTAGTTGTGAGTGGTTTTGTTTGTTGTCGTTGGTAGATGGAATTAGGCGAGAGGCGAGAGGCGAGAGGCAAGGGCTTGTTGCTCTTCGTAAACGGTGAGAGTGGCCCGCTAGGTAGCAGCCAGACCGTTATCGAGTATCTTTCACCAGTCACCAGCTAGGAGCGATGCTAGACGGTCTGTTCATCCGGTAAGTCCATCTCCTTGCACGGGGTATACTTGTCATTTATGTCAACAAAACATGGTTACTTCTTCTTCTTCCATATTAAGACATTAAAAGAAAAAATATCTATATCAATTTTTAACAATTAATTTTTTAGAGTGAAAAATTACCATTTGTGAGACTTGATGCCTTGTTTTTCTCTTTTTAACTATTACATCAGACGAAGTTTCTGTCAAGTTATCTATATTCAAACCGGCCTAAAACTTTGAATTGCGCATAAAATATTTAATTTCATTCATTCAATAGATTAGAAACTAAATTAAAAACATTAATTGAAAAAACATCGCCATCCACACTGCAAAATCCTGCAAGAACAAAAACTAAAAATTTTCAGGAGACGAAAAAACTGCGTAACTTTTTTCCTGTGAGCATTATATTTTCGGTTCAATTTTTTTTTGCCGGCTTAAGACAAAGATGTAATGCTACATGTGACTTTTTTGATCGTATTTCTGCTAAATAATCTTTTAGAGCCATTACATCAAACTTATAGATGTTTAGTTATTTTGAAAAACAGGTAAAAGAAAAAAAAAATATTGTAGTAATACCCATAACTTTGTTAATAATGATCAAAGCATTGGTTTGAAGACCGTTTAATATTATATTCCCACTTACCACTCTCTTCTTTACTTCGTCTAGTTCCATGGCAAGCAGTGTCGGCTTGGCAGGAGAACCCGGGCATTTGTCCAGAGGACCCAAATGGAAGTGCCCGCCACTTATTTAAAAAAAAAAAAAAAAAAAGAAATAGAAAGAGTATCAGAAAAATTAATTTTACCATATTAATAAAACTAATTGATATAGCAGTCTATACACGAAACGCATTATACGATCTGTATTTACAAGACCACCTTTCATTGAACATTTCATTACGTTTTTTCGGTAACGACTCAATCTCTATAACCTTCACTGTAACTTACAGTTTTTTACATCTCAATTTGCTGGTTTTTACAAAAGGCCATAGAGAAGAAATGAAACACCGTAAATTTCATTTTGTAGGATCACGATATGCTCCAGGACAAGAGAGACCAGAAAAGCTCAAAACCGCATTTTCCATATAAAATGTCTTTACAGGCTTTTGCATTGTGGCTGTCAATATATTATAAATTTAATACAAAATATAAAACTTTTGTAATTGAATTATCATTCAATTTTTAAAAAAATTAAATCAATAAATGCAAATGTAGATTGAAGATATACCCTGTTCTTAATTTCTGTCCGTATAATGGATCTTGTAACTAACCTTTCGTTTGCACGGGATTCTTGGTCTTAAGTTTAAAATTTTTTTAAAACAAAGAACCGGGCTTCGAATAAAACTTTATCAAGATGTCTACTATACTGGACTTCGGGGAACTAATTATTAATTTAACATTCTAAAAATACTGAAGTTTACTCCAACTTCAATGCGATTTTTAATCTCAAACAATTTAGACTAGCTGATGGTTACTATAAGTGTTGTTTATTCGCCTACATTGAATTCCTTCAATCGTGATAACCGTTTTAGTATCAAATATATGAACTATTATTTGGTTAGAATTGTTTTCATACTTATAAAATTTATTTTAAGAAGTTGTGTGTAAATGAGATCATTTCCGAAATCGGCCCTTTTTTTTTAGTTAAGTATACTTAAAAAAATAATTCATCAAACATTTTTAACCGTTTATTCAAATGTAAATTAAAAATAAATTTTTTTCATGGTACCACTATTGTAAACAATAAGTTAATTTTTTATAGCACATATTTTATAACTTTTTCCCTTCCCCGAATCAGACACTATTTTTTCCGCCTAAACCGAACCTCAAAATGTAATATAGTTTAATTCTTTCCAAAAGCGGCCCTATTCAAATTTCAATTTTTTTTAATCACTATTAAAAAAATCATTAGTATTCGGAAATATGTTCTACAAATGATGAATTCTTTATAAAATATTGGTTTTGATATTCCAACATGAATTGAAAATATAGTTTTTGTCACTTCCTGAAAAAATGTCAATAATGTTTCAGGTTTAATTTCGATAAACTTTAAACGACTCAGAATAATCAAAGAAAAATAAACGACTCGAATAGTGAAACTACTCTTAGCGGCCACACATGTTATCTATATTTTAAGAAAAAAAAAAATTCTAAAACTTCAAATCTCGTCATAGTGATGCAGTAACATTCCTCTATCTTGAGTCGCACAGGGAAACGTGGGCGAGCCAAGCAAAACTACATTTTTAAATGCTCCTTCTCACTGAGGCTTGTGTAATGTATAAACGCGGCTATACCGAAATCGATTTCAGTCAAATGAATACTGCACGCGTACAGTAAATATGCATTCATAAAGATTTTCCACAGACGAAGAACAAATATTGAGACAGGACCCAGACACGACTTCACGACTTATGATTTTTTTAAAAACTATCGACATATATAACGAAATTTAAAACAAACTTAAAGTGACTAAGGAGACTTCAGTGTAAATGACCCCAGTGGTCGAAACACTCAAGTAAATAAATAATCTGGTCATTGTGGACATCTAAGGAAAACATCTGCACTTATTTTAGTATTTTCTTTGTTTCATCTACTTCATTTCGTTTTCATTTTTATTATTACAATCATAGTTTTAAAAAAAATTAAGGTAACCATTTCGTGCATTAAGGGATGTCATTCAAGACCGAAATTGAAAAAAACAAAACAATAAACTGTTAATAATTTAACGTTCGAAAAAGGAAAAAAATAAACTCTATGTTAACCTAAATATGAATAATTTTCGGTTGTTACTTATAAAATTATTTGAGAAGTATAACGGGTTCTCCTCGACTTATCAATCTGAAGTTCACGTATTAAAAATTAAAGAGTAATATAATGTGAGACACTAGCGGATCCAGGATTTAATTTTGTGGGGGCTTCAGCCCGAAAGATTTTTTTTTCATATATATATAACAATAATTAATTTGAAAAAAAATTATAGAAATTAATCACCTATATGAAATGGTGTTTAAGTGGTTCTTGAAGTCCTATTAAATATAATTACACGAACAAGAATACTTTAAGAGATAGTTTTTAATATTTTTTTTCTGTAAAACCTGGTTACATTTTGGGAGAGGGGCTTCAGCCCAAAAGCCCTCCCCCCCCCCCCGTAGATCCGCCTGTAATGTGAGACATAAATGATAATTCAAGAATAGAAAAAATTAGTGGGGAAATTTTAAAAAACTGAGACTCGAAGGGAGTATAACCATAGTTAACTCTTGGATTGTAACCAAAGATTTTCAAATAAAAATATGTATTATTATCTATTTGCATATATTTATAGTTGATAAAATATGGCAACAGTTGTTTTGAAATAGGAATATTTTGAATGAAAATTGTATATTCTTTACATGTTTGTAGCCGATTCTGCTTCTATGTAACATTAAAAAATCTGAATATTTTACAATAACCAAAAGGATAAATTAGCCCTACATATTTAATGTAATATTTAAATTTAAGCAGCTAATGATCTCTGAATAATATTCAAAACAAATTCACAATATAATTTACAATTTGTTTTACAAATATGACTAATTAATTCTACTTTTTTTTTCTTTTTCATTCTCCCCTTCCTCGTCTTTTAGGCTATACGGGGGTTTTCCCCGGGCGAGGGATGAGGGCGGGGGATTAATGTCAGAGTTAAAAGATCCCCGCTGCACCGGCAAGCGAAGTCGTAATTATCTTGGTTTTCAGGTTGCCGGGTAACCCGCGGTGCTGTGCTCACGCATTAGCCCTCTCGGCCACCCTGCCCCAATTAATTCGACTTAAGATCCAATTGATTACATGTTATAAATTAATTACTCGTAGTAATTAGTACTTTATTGAAAGTACTTTCAAGGTGGGTATTGAGTACTCTATTGAATATACTCTCAAGGTGGAGTGGTAAGTGAAAGTTGAGTGGTGCGCGCACCGCACCACTTTTTGTATTTCTGAAACTTCCAATTTCCTTTACACAGGATACAACGATATTGTTCGCTTAATTATTATGGAATATTCAAGACAAGCATCATGACTTGTTGATAAGAGAAAGTCCTTCCAGACAGAGGTCAAAGAAAAGTGGAGTATCACCAACGCGAAATCTCACTTTCGGTCAACGGTGAAGTTCTCTAATCACTCTCAATGTATGAAAATTTTTATTTATGTCGTCTGTCGCTTAAATAATATGTATTGTAAAATATGTATATTATTATTTAACAATATATAAGATTAAATATATGATAAAACTTACAAAAACGAATTTATCTGTCTCTACTATCCTGTTTGTTCTATTTTGAGGCCTATTGAGGTTTATTTTTTGTTATCCTAAAACACTAAAAGAGTGTTTGATTGACTTTATTGTAAAAATTATGTTATTTAAAATTATGCCAAGAATTTTTTTTTCTAATATTTATGTGTTAAATTGCTCTTACAAATTTTAAACTCGTATTGATACAAAGCTGCAATATTAGAGGTTGAAAATTTTTAAATAAAAAATATGTTTTCTGAAAGCTGTTCAAGGTTTTAGTGACCTCGATTTCACTATTTTCTTTGAATTCCAGTCCACAATTTTCTTTTCTGATGTGTTTACATTCACAAGTATACTAATTACCAATCTGTTAGTTTCCAACTGTAATTATGTTTCAGCTATTATTGTTGGTAACCATTTGCTCCACCAAATTAAGTATAATCTTTATGGAAAGTTTAATCGATATATATTAAAAACAATATATCTGATGAAAATAGCAGCAACTCATACT